CAAATCTTCAAACATGGCACCAGCTGGCCTACTCTCTCCTCTTCTAGTAACATATCAAATTTGGGAGGATTTGTCCATGAATTTTATAATGGATCTACCAAAATCTAGAGATTACACTACTATTTTAGTTGTTAATTATTACCTTTCCAAATATGCCCATTTTGGACCCTTGCCTACCACATATTCAGCCTCCCCAGTTGCCACTCTCTTTGTCAATATGGTACATCATTTGCATGATTTCCCATAATTTATTATCTCAGAGAGGGATAGTATTTTTTTTTAAAATTCTAATGTCATCTTTTTACTTTAAATGGTACTACAATCAACTATAGCATTGCTTATCATCCACAAACAAATGACCAAACTGAGGTCCTAAATAGATGTTTGGAACAATAACTTCATGCCAACACTTCCAAATACACCCAAACTCTGGTCTACCTTCATATGCTGGGCTGAACTCTCTTATAATACCTCATTTTATACCGCCATTAAGATGTCTCCATATCAGGCCCTCAATGGATGTTTACCACCTCCAATACCTTCTGTTGTTAAAGTTGTCTAAAATATTCATACTCAAGAAGTCAAGATTCATTATTAACTAACCACCAGAATCTTTTACCAACTCTTCGCACTAACATGCAACAAGCCCAACATATAATGAAATTATAGCTGATCGTAATCGACGGAATTTTCATTTATTGATAGGAGATTAGGTTTTGATTAAACAACAACTTTTCGTCAAAATTCTATCGTTAACGGCACATACTCAAAATTATCCAAATGCTACTTTGGCATCTTTCGGGCCCAATCAATTTTAGTCTAGTAGCATATCAACTAACACTTCCTCCATAAAGTAAGATTCATCTAGTTTTTCATATCTCCATTCTCAAATCTTTTTTTGGCACTCCACCCACTATCATTACACATCTTCCTCTTCTCAGTCATAACAACCAACCACTAAACCTACCACATGTCATACTAGCTACCCGTAATATAAACATACATGAGCAAACTCATAAATAGGTGCTTTTACAATGGACACTTTCTACTCCAGATGACGCCACTAGAGAGAATTTTTCAGCTCCACCCCTTAACCTTGAAGACGATGTTAATGTTTTATAGGGACGGGAGTGTTAAGTATCAATACATTCTCTTTGATGCAAATTTAATATAAAAACAATAAGAATAATAGATCTATAACTCAGACGAATAAGCTCATGATAAAGTACAGCCTGTCCAGAAAACAGTCTAAGGACTGAAGCAACCCATAGTCTTTATAAGAAATGAACCCATAACAGCCCAATTATTATTGTAACAGGATTTATTACTTCTTTTTTTTATTTACTTGTACAAACCTATAATAAGTTCACTTGCTATAATTGATGTTTTAGGAAATGAAAATTTGTTTTCTCTTCCCTTGTTCTCTTTTTTTCCTCTTCTTCTTCTAGGAGTTTCACCTACGCAATAGGTATTTTATCCTTGTCAATTCAATCAAGAAGCATATCACTGCCGCAACCAGAACCTGGATTGATCAACAGAGATAGAGTATATAAAATATTAAGATATATATAGATAAAAAGAGCAAAAGTTATATAGTTAGAAAATCCTAAATTCCATGTATTTTTGTGACCCGTGCCAAAGATTGGATTCCTTATTTATAGATAGAATCGATGGCCGATGCTACGAGAGGGACTGCACACAAGTCAATCTACCTTGAAGATAATCAAACAAATTCTTGCAGCCTTAAACAAATACAATGATGTACTCTATATGGGACTATGGGTACTACTAGTCATCTTTTTCTTGAATAATACTAAACCAATACTAATTTTGGCTGATTGTCAGTCAAGTATTGTGCGTATTGTTGATGGATTCTTCTTGATGAATTTATCTATTTTTAAGTGATTGATTATTGGTATTGTTGTGTGATTTGTCATAGATGATATCTATGATGATTTTGGATGATTTTTGTGTGTTCAAGATGATTTAAGCTGGTTCAATTTTATTGCTAACTTGATTGTTCACACATAGTTGTGCACATACTTATTTGACAAAAAAAAACACATAATGAACACTAAAGCAAAGAAATAATGAAATATCACGTTAATGTACCAACGAAAGAGGTTGTGAGGACCCTTGGAAGGAAGGATTGTGAAGCTTTAGATGAGTCGTCATCACTATTCAACAAATCAAAATTTTCATTGATAAGGATGTAGCAATGACAAGAGAGTAGGCATGATTTAAATTTGCAAAATGTCCAGCTTTCTAGAGAATAGAGTGACTAGGGATGTACTAGTCTACTGGATATAAATTTTGATTAAAAAAAAAATTGCACTGAAATTTCTTTAAAGTGGGAATTTAGTGAAGAACCATGTTCACATTCTTCAGGATTAAAGGCTTGACAAAAGTTTCTACAGCCCAATAAGAAAAACCATCACTGAAATGCCGAAGGTGGTTGCAATATTTGCACCATTATCATTATGTGGATCGATGGTCATATTACTTTTAACGTTCTTACAAGTTTGGGCACAAAGGAGAAGAACTTTATAAAAGTACACTAAAGCTTGGACATCGAAACAAAGTCAAGATATCACAACCCAGACTGATATATGGAGCAATAAATCAAACATGATTCAAATGAAGTGAATGAATGGGATGCGAAGATGAAACCATAGATCTAAAGGAAATTAAAAAAAAAATTAAGGAACTAATTTTTAAAAAATCATGACGAAACCAAAAAATAAGTGAAACATTCAAATTATTTTCTAAGGTAAGAACAAAATTTAGAAGATATTATACCCTAGATAATAAGGAGCAAGTAGTATAAGCGCTTGGATTCATTTCAAAGCTTCAAAAGCCTGAGGAGAGGAGTTTGGATGCTGTAGGAGGTTGAAATAGGCTATGAAGAGTTTTCCTAACAGAGACTTGAGGCATTAGTGATGATAAATAAAAGTTAATAGAAATAATTAAGTTAGTTTTAGCATTAAATTATAGTCAACAACTTCACAGCGAGTCATAATCTCTTGATTAGTGATCTACAAATGAGTTTAAACCCACTAATTTGTATTTATAGGTCCATGAACCATAGAAGTTGAGTTTTTTTTTTTTAAATTAACTTCTTTATCCTCAATAAATGTTTGATTTGGGTTGAACTACATATATGTTTCACAATTTGGCACAATCAAATGCAATAACAAAGATGGAGGATTGGAAAAATTTCACGAGTGATCAATTCAAAATGCCATTTGCATAAAAAAGTGCTTAACCATTACTCATTTAGCAAAAATAAGTTTAGGACATCAAAATTAAAACAAAAAGCCCTTTAGTATTACTCAAGGAGAAAATGAACAAAATGGTCATTTAACTCTTTATGAAGGATCAAAATTGTCCTCAAATATATTAAAGGATCGTATTAGTCCCTTGACTTTTTTAAGAAGAATCAAAATAGTCTCATTGTGAGATTATTTTGGTTCCTCTTTAAGGAGTTGAGGGGTTAAAATGGTCATTTAATATAGTTGGGGACCATTTTGATTTTTTATAAACAATTAACTAACCGTTTTGATCATTTTCTAATTACTCATGCTACGACAAAAAACAACTTACCTACACAAGAAAAATGATTTGCAAAAACTTTGCACACCAGCAGTGTTGTTTGAAAATAATAGTAAAATAAAAAATAAACAAAATGATATATATTAGTGAATCAATATATATATATATATATATATATATAGGGGTGTTTTATTTTTTAGTTATATATAAGATTATATGATAAACACAATAGTTTAATATAGACCAATTAGCATAATACTTAGAAACCTTTTATCTTATACTTTTGGTTATTTATTTATTTATGTATTTATTATAAAGGATATCATTAGCCTCATATTTTATCTTTAGTGTTTCTAGAACTTATATATCATATCTTTTCTTAAGTTTTTCAAATCATTTTATATATTCCAATCAGAGGGCATGTACGTGAAGTGAAACTTAAGGAAATTCAATCCAAATGGCAAACCAAGGAAAATTATTAAAGCATAATGACACAAAATGTACATTACAATACTAAAATAGGCTAATGAAGGACCACAAACTACCTCGTAGCATGCCATTATTCTAACATAAGCCTCCTAAATCTTAGAAGTGGTCCATTAGATTGAGAGCCCAAAACTCGTTCAAACCAATATTAGCGACCAATAAACTATCAACGGCAACCTATAAAAATTTGAAATGGATTATGATAATTTAAATGATTTATGGGAGATCAAGAATTCAAAATATATGTAGAATAGAGTAATTAACATGTAAAAAAGTGATCTGAAATATATGGCTAGATTAAAAATATATAATATTTTTTAAAAGAGTGATTTTTATTTATAAAAAAAATGAGGATTATTTTAACTGTTTAAGCCTGAACGGCCATAAACATGATCAACTTCATGTACATCTAAAGATAAAAGAAAGTAGCTAGCTTTGCAGCTGGTTCATATGCACACATCCATCCAACGGCATTTCCATTCAAAAGATAGATACTTAAACATGCATTAAGCTCAACCAAACCATCAAATATGTCCAATGTGTGTTTGTCATCATTAAAATTGATTTTGTCAATTGTATGGGCTCAAAGGGGTTAACAATCACCAAAACTCCATAAGTTTCCCTTCATTTTTGAGCTTATATGTACCGTAATAATGTGAGGTAAATGCTCGCAATAATATTAGAGTTGTTTAAACAGATTCAACCATGCAATTTGACTCCATCCAAGGTCAACAAATACTAAAACTTCTTGTATAAATTTTTTTAACATGAAGGTGTCTGGTAGTTTATTTAGCAAATTTTTCATTAAAAAATAATGGAGAGGAAGTGAAGGGAGTAGGTATCATATTTTCACTTAAAATTTAGTGAAATTTGAAGATCCGTGTCACAAACTATCCGATATAACTGGACTATTAAGAAAACATTTAAAAAATCAAAAATTAAAACATGAGTACAAACCTTACCTATGCCTGCATTTCCTGCATGCGTATACTCTTTCTCCCTCAATCATCTTAACAGCACCCGACCTTATAACCGTGCCCTTAACAGTGAGAAGTATCCCCCTGTGTTTCACCCTCAGCCTACCAATATTCGGGAAAGTTTCTGCACGAATTCCAAACTCCCGTTAACACCATCTTACAAGCTTACCAGAATTTTCTAAATCATATTTCATCAAAATGAAAAAGGAATGAAATGAGATAATCACCAGGACATTCAAGAGGTGAACCGGTGACATTGATACGAACATGGACGAACTTCTTAGGGCTCCCGCGAGCCTCGATGCCCTCCGATCCATCAAGAACAATCGTCTAGGAACGAGCACAAGTGACCGGTTAGGAGATCGATGCTAGATGGAGGTAAAAAGAAAATGGAATTGAGGAAGATGAACATTACCTGTGAGATGTGCGCGGCTTGATCAAAGAGGGGCAATACGTCAGTGGGGTGAGAGAAGAGGTGGTAGGCGAGGGGAGGATCGAACTCTAGAAGCTCCGCGAAGCTAAAAATATGATTTATAAGCTGGGATCCACATAGAATGAGAGAGAGAGAGACAGAGAGAGAGAGAGAGTAGGGTTACTCGATAACGATTGGATAATGTAGTGTGAGGTCATTGATGAAAAGGATAGAGCGGATACAAGACGTATGGTGGCTGAGGAGGAAGCGGACGAAGGCTTGCACGACGTCGGCGGGAGGCCCCTCCTGCGGCACTATTGCTGATGCTTTCATTTTCTGGGCCGGAGGAATGTGACTGAACGTGCAAGTTTGCAACACATCAGCTATAACGTAACAGTTCATTAGAAAAAAGCTATAACACAATTTTTTTTTATTTTTTAGCTATAACACATTATAATTACACATTAAAATAAAATATATAGCACATCAAATAAGTATGCTTTAAAATACTCATTTTTTTCTTTAATGTCAATAGTTGATGTACTCAAAATGGCAGATAATTTAATTGCTAGAAATAATGAAATATTACAGCTGATCCTCATTGTAACCTATGTCATAACGAAAAAAAAAAATTTAAATTTTTTTTTATGTCATAACGACAATGAAACTGTAACTCGTCTCTATTTTGAATGTTCTTTCAGTTTTGAAATTATTTGCAAAGCATTCCTGCACTTGAACTCCTTTTTGCTGAGACCGAATTCAGCTTAGGTGTTGGAAGCAATTGATAAAATGCAGAATGGCATTGCTGATCTAAAAAATTTCATTCTTTCTGTTTATATGGTGCTGCATCTATTTTATTTTTGAAAGAAATGAATAATAGGCGATACTTGGGTGTTTATTATTGCATATCCACTGTTTTCTCCGTCATTTCGAATGTTAGACCATCTCCGATGGAACGGCAATCCGTAGCTCTATTCGGGCGGTAATTTTGTCGCTATTTCATCGTGGGTGAACAGTGAACGTCAATAATTGTGTCGCACTGTTCACCCGCTAAATTTTTATGTGTCAATGGGATTTGCCCGTGAAATGGAGAAAGACGGTTACAGCATAAACGAGACGACGAAGCATGTGAAGTGGAGTTCGATTGGAGCATAATTATCGCATTTTGGAGTTTTGTTATATTTTGCAGTGGAAAATGGGGTTTTCGGTTAGAGATGCTCTTAAATGGCATAAAATAAAGAACTGAAAGAGTTATGAACATATTAAAGGGTGGGTATTTTGACACGTCGTTGATTTATGAACAATGATGAAGCAAGTGCCCGGAGATTTAGCTTTTTGTGCACTCCTGGATGGTCAACCTTCGAGCGACTGGCAACCGTATGTAGATTTGCTACGGTTAAGCTTATGTTGGAAGAATTATATGATCAATTATTTTCTTGCTTTTTTAGATTTTTGAGTCTAGAATATTTGTTTTCATTCTATGAAGATCTTTGTTTTTAGCTTATAAACTTTTAATATTTTGCAGCGCATACTATAGGGTGCTTTTTGGTGTGTTAGTCTTGTTATGACCGTTGTTTGTTCTTGTTGTGGGCTAGAATATACGCGGCGGTAGAGTTTACAAATTCACGTCTGAACGTTGTACGAATATTCAACACACAAACAGAAAAGAAAGTGAACACCAGGATTTTTACGTGGAAAACCCTGTAAAGGGGAAAAACCACGGGGCCACGCCCAGTTAAAAAGTTCCACTAGTGTTGCGTAAATTACAAGAAATTGATTCATCCCATAAGTTAGAACAATCAGATTACACTAAGTTTCTCCTGAATTAAAACAAAGTTGTGCAAAATCCCGACGTTTCCCGAATATCCGGCATAATTCTGGCGTTTTCAGGCGGCGGGAAGAACTCCGGCGGTGGTCGAGGAGGAGCTGATTCTCCTCCTTCTTCTCTTATCTTCTTCTCTCTCTTCTCACTTGAGTCCTCTTGTGAAGAATGAGGACTCTATTTATAGTTTTTCTGAAGTGGCATGGCCTGTATATACGTGTGAGATCAGGGGCGAATAGGGATTGGTCGAATGGACGGTTGATGTTGAACCCTTCGATCGTGCACCGTTCATTGGACATTTGAAGGCCTTAGTGATATTGGAATTCGGCGATCTTGGGCTCGTTGGATTTTTCTCGTCAAGCCATTCGATTCGAGTATAAGCTCGTTAAAATCGGAGACCGTTTGGTAACTCAAATTGTAGTACGAGCTTTCCAACAGCACTTCGGGCGCTTGATTTGGGCTCATTTGGACTCGGATTGAGTTGAATTTGGTGTTGTTGGGTTCAAATTTTCGAGACGCTCAGTTTGACTGTAAGCTTGCTGAAATCGGAGTTCGAGTGCTCCCGGATTTAATTTTTGAAGTTTCTGGTTTGGGTTTTGCCTCGAGATTCGTGCCCGATCAAGATAATTTTTTGAGAATATAACAGTTCTATTATATTTTCAATTATTGAATTAAAATAGGGCTAAGGCCATTATTTCATCATTCCGTGATCAATGAATGTCCTCAATAACTCAAGAGTTTATAGTAAAAACTATTATAAAGGTATTGATGGTCACTTGGCTTTACATCTAACTCTATTATTATGAGTTTATGACATCTTATTTTATATTGCGATATTTATGATGCGTTGTCTTTTTCTATATTTGAGAGCTTTCTATTTTTATTTGGATGATCACTCTTCTACTTAACCAATGAGTGTAACATGGAAAGTTCTGTTATCCCGCAGAATTTCTCACTTTTTTTTTTTTTAGAATGTATATATATATTTGAAAATATATTAAAGAGTTTAATTGAAGGATTTTAAGTAAAAACAAAACTTCATTAAAAAAAATTTTAAAAGGAGAAAAAATGTAAAATTATTTTACACTTAAAAAAAATATTAATTTTTTTATTTTTTGAGAAATCGGGAATTGATCTCATGTTTTAAAATAAAGGTGAAATAAATAAATTTTTTTTTAAAAAAAAATTAATTATATTTTATTGAACATTTAAAAAATAAATAATTTATTATGTATAAAATGAAAATTCGGGTTAGCGAAATCCTGAAATGGTGGGAATCAAGCCTCAATCTTGAGAGATCCTGTGTTCATAAAGCCAATTTTGAAATAAAATTTAAATACATATTTAATCAAATGTAATACTTTAACTTAACGATAATATATATATATATATATATATATTCAAACAGTTCCTGTCAGAATAAATTAATTTAAATTAAATAACTATTATATTTAATTAAAAAATCACATATAATTAAAATATTACAAATAATTATTTAACTTAAACCATTTTATTTTAATATATATATATAATATTGACAAAAATTTTAAGTTAGAAATCATATTCTAATTTAATAATTTTGTACTTTTTTCCTAATTATTATTAAATATATAATATTGAACACATATTTTCTTAATTAGTTATTGTTGCGTTTTGGAATATTCGCGGTGGTAGAGAAATATAAAGTTTAACGTCTACGCTTTGTACGAAGATCTAGCACACAACTAGATGAGAGAGGGTGCAGCATGTATATGAGATACTAAGATTTTTCCGTGGAAAACCATGAATAAGGGAAAAACCACATGGCTTGGCCTAGCTTGAACGAATCAAATAGTATTTGTAGTTGATTACAAATGAGGCCCTTCCTTGGGGGGGAAGGCATTGACTTGATGTAACAAATATACATCATATGGACTACATTACATGGTGGGAATAGAAAGAATCACTATTAACTTGTTCATTTGGTCAGAAGGACCATAATAAGTAGACGACCGAGGTTGGAAAGACTATAGTCATGTGACAGTGGTCAAAAGGACCATAGTCGGCAAGCGATGGAGGTTGGAATGATTGCAATCTAGATATGGAGGTCATAAGGACTTTAGTCAGCTAGCAAAGAAAGTAAAAAGTCGAGCACCATGTAGAAGTTCAACGTGAACGGAAGTCTAGCATTAGATAGAAGTCCAACAAAAGTCTTGCGATGGGCCTATAGCTGGGTAGAAATCTGATGATGGGTATAAGCCCGACGACAGTCCTGTCACTGGGTAGAAGCCCGAGGTCGGACAGAAATCTGGTGACAAGATGAAGTCCAGCATCAGGTAAATATATGTCCAATGAAAGTCTGATGACGATCAAAAGTCTGACGATGGTTGGAAGTCTGGCCTTGGGAAAAAATCTGGAGATGGCCGGAAGTTTGGCATTAGGTAGTAGTCTTATAAAATTCTGATGGTGGTTGAGGAGTCTGATGGCAAGAGAACTCAAGCTTCTCTTCTTCCTTTCCTTTCTTCTCTTCCTTCCTTGGCCCCCTTCAAATGAGAAATGAGGAGTCTAATCATAGTTTTTTGAGAGAGGCATGGCCAGCAAATAGAAGGAAGATCAAGGGTAAATCGGGAGTGGTTTGAATAGATGACTGACATTGAATCTGAAAGTTCATTAGAGTTGTAAAACCCTTATGAACTAGCCCGAGGCTAACCAAGAGGGGGATTGAATTGGTTATTTAAAAATTTTCTTGACATAAGAAAATCTTTTTGAAATCTCTTTGAATATTTTAAAACAAACGATTTATGGGGATGCAATACTAATTTCTCAATAACAAAAAATTCGAGATTTTTAGCACGGAACAAATTACAGAATAATGTGAAAATTAAATGCAAAAAATTAAATAATGTTTATTATCATCAAAATCACTGTATATGGGCAAAGATTTGTAACAATCCCTTGGTTGTGGACCATTTACTAGGTAATTGATTGTTATAACGTATAAGAATTTGGCAATCATAGGCTTGTTGGGGTCTCATTGAGCTGCTCGATTCTACTATAAGCATGTCATGCTTAGAAACCGTTTGTGAATCCAAATTATGGTTTGAACCTTCTAAATGCGCTTCAGGTCTTTTATTTAAACCTTTTTGAGCTCAAATTTGGTGTCGTTGGGTTTGTATGTTCAAGACGTTTAATTCGACTATAAGTTTGTTGAAATCGGAGTTCTGATGGTCTTCGATTGAATTTTTGAAGAATCCAACTTGTTTTTTTTGTTGAGATTCATGCCCGATCAAGATAATTTTTTGATGATATTTCATTTGCTCCCCTATTTTTGGATGTCGAAACTCCAAAATTTTAAATCTATGTATCACAATAGTTTAAATTGATCGAATCATTAAAAATGCTAAAAAAATGGAGTTCCAAAACACTTAAAATAGCCAAAATTTGAATATAAAAGCTCTGAGGAGCTTTGAAGTGCCAAAATTGGACCCATAACATCAAACAATGATTATAGAGACCCTAAAATGTTTTAATTGGACTATACGATCTAAGAAATTGGTCTTGGACGTGCGTTCGTGGTCCAACGACTGTCAGCCTTTGCCGGTAGT